TTTTGGCTACAAGTTTTCACAACTTCTATCTTTTCTTTGGAAATTTTCCCACCTTGAGGCCCGACGATCTCGAGCTTCTGGCCACTTTTCTGACAGGAATTGTTGTGATATAAATAATACTTTGAGGATGAATTTCACGACCTTGTTTTTTTTTTTTTTTTTTACCATTTTTAAGGGGGAGAGGGGTACATGTTAAATAATATTATTTGTTGTATATCAATTTTTATCATTATGTTATAAATGTTAATGTATTGCTTTTACGAAACATGGATATTAGCTTTACCTTATCGTTACTCTGCCAAAATAATATAAAATATTTCACTCAATCCTCACTCTGCCCATATAATATAAAATATTTTATCCTGCCGTTACTCTGCCTGTATAATATAAAAAATTTGTTGCCCATATATTATAAAATATTTATTATACCATGTCGTTATTCTGTCATTATTATATAAAATACTTATTATACTTTGTTGTTACTGTGAATGAACACATTTTGAGCGAAGAAATCACTTATACAGTAAACACTACTTTTGGTATAAAAGTACGTTCTTTATGAACACATGTTCGGTCAAGAAAGCAGTATTCGTCACACGCTACTTTTGGTATAAAAGTACTTTGTTATAGAACACACTTTCAGTCAAGAAAGTACATACACAGTAAAACATTACTTGCACATAAATGTATGTCCTTAATGAATAAAATTTTGTGTAACGAACTAATTTTCACGTCCAAAAATTTCGTTTTTAAAACATTACTTTAGAAAACGTTAATAATTAAAACATTGTTTGATCAAACCACATCACAACGTAAACCATGTCTCAAAGCCAAATCATACAACCAATCGAAATATCAGAGTATAAATCCCAGAGAAATCTAATAGATGCAGAAACCAGTGTGTGTGCATGATGTGCCGCTACCGCGCCAGCTCCTTTCCCTTTGATGAAGAGGTACCTGAAACCAAAAATGTAAACTGTAAGCACAAAGCTTAGTGAGTTCCCCCATCGTACCACATACCATACAAACACATAACATACATATTGTCAGGCTATTCTGGGGTGCCTGATTACCCGGTACGGCCATTCTGGGGTGCCGACTACCCGTGCGGCCATTCTGGGGTGCCGTCCTACCCGTGTCAAGCCATTATGGGGCGCTGACCTACCTATGTCGAGCTATTCTGGGGTGCTGACTACCCTTCGATCCTAACAACCGAACCTCGGGGACTATTTCACCCCTACTACTACTATCACATATAACATAACACAAACATAATATCAGACATATCAACACCTGTGATATTAATAAACTGAGTGGGTCAGGTTGGGAAACCTGGTGAGTACATAGGGTTTTCAACTGACAATAATATAATTATTATGTTTAATCATCAAACAATCAACCCAATTATGCATCCCCATTATCTTCTTTACTCTTAAGGATCTACCATAAAAATCGCCATTACTCGTTCATTTATTCCTATGAAGTATCCTAAGGAATTGGCACGAAGTCCATCATTACCGGGTTTAGGCACTAAGTCTGCATAGTTGCCAAAGTTTATACAACAGGAACTAAGTCTGCATAGTCGCCATGGTTTAGGTACTAAGTCTGCATAGTCACCATGGTTTAGGCATCAAGTCTGCAGGATCGCCAAGGTTTAGGCACTAAGTCTGCATAGTAGCAAAGATTTAGAGTACACCGGGTGAGCACATCATTCATAACACCTACAGGTTTCGAGCCTGCTAGTGTTCCACTGGACTGTCTAGAAGAGTTTGTGGTTACCATCCATACTCTGCTAGCTGATGGGTCCATCTATTGGGTAAAAGGCTTCTCTCATTGTTCATCTCTCACCCTTATCTCATGGTCTATATCACCTCTCATATCATCATCCAACTCATATTTCATCTACCCATATTTTACCCAACATATTTTATAGATATAAAATACATATACAGTTTAATTCATTTGAAGCATGTATAAAATCGTCCATCCAGCATAGTCAACAAGTATTCAGATAATATGCACACATAGCACGTAATTTATATAAAATACTTCGTATCTATGTGTAAGATGAAAGTAACTCTGCACTCATCTGATAAGGTGGTGACGCGGTTCTCAGACAACACTTCTTTACTTTAAAACAATTTCGTTCGACAAAACCTAGTACCATTACCACTAGAGTTTAGTCTAACGTTTTACCAAGACTAATTAATAGTCTAGCTATTATTACTATTATATAAGCGTTAAACAATACTCTTCACCCATTAAACACCGGAGGGCAGGATCATTTTGACATATAACACTTCTGAATCCAGCAACCCACGCGACCCTCTAATCCAGATTCCCTGTACCGAAAGTGGTTAAAAGTATATTACAACGAAAGTTATATAACCCATAATAATAGCCCAAATAATTACCATAAGGTTCTAATAACATTACTATAATTAATTAAAATCTATATTAAAAATAAGGTAGGCGTAGCTCACTTACAACAGGTTTTCTCGAAAACCGGGCTACGCTTGGAGCAGCGTTTCCGAACCGAAAGACCTTTTTTCTTGGGACTCTGGGAGCCTCGTGGCTTCCTTCGGGTGCTAGGGGTTTACCTAGGCTTAGGGGGGTTAGGGGCTTAGAGAGAGTATGTATAGAGAGAAAAAGAGTGTGAAAGGTGTGAGAAATATGAAGGATTCACCCTTTATTTATAAGAGTTTTATCGTAGAGTAGTCTCTAAGTTTCGTATGTATCTTCTACGTACGTGCTCTGTTTTCTACATTCTTTATATCCAAACATTGATATTTACGCGTACTCCAACTTTCATTTATACCTTGTCGGCCAATTCTTCTTCTATCTCAGATTTACAAGTCTGCATTGAATTCGTCGCGCTTGAAGAGTAGAGACTAAGCTTCGTCCATATCTTTCGCATACGAGCTCCGTTTTTTACTATCATTTTATTTTTTAACTCCTATTAACGTTATCTTCATTTCTCGTTTAGATTATTTTGGCTAAAAATCGACCGACCTAAAATTCGAATTTTTAGGTTGTTTACTATTATGCTAAATCTTAGAAAAATCATAACTTCGTCATACGAAGTCAGATTTAGACGTTCTTTTTATGAACACTATCGGTTTAACATTTACTACGACTTTTGTTTAGATCGATAATTCTAGAAACTATTTTATCATAAATTCACTTTTTACGATTCCCGGTGTCGTGCCGGTTTTGCTGTAAAACTTCGACGGGTCATAACTTCTTTGTTATAACTCGGATTTCGGTGTTCTTTATATGAATGGAACCCTTGTGACATATACTATAACATGGTTAAGATTATGTATTCTAAATAATATTTTGTTAAAAAGTCATTTTTGATGCTTATTGTCTCTAAATTAACTATCCCGAATCTGCGAGCGTTACAACAATGAAGAATCTGCCTCCCTTATTTACACAAAAGGGGAGATTGTTGAGTTAATTTTGTGGTTTGTCAATTGTAATGCGTATGCTAGTATATTCCATTTGTATATGGGTTGGGCCTGGCCACCCGATTTTTAATGTGCTAGGGTTAGACTATATATAGTGCATGCATGCACCGTATTAGGGCTAATCATCTTGTGATTCCCTACCGTGTCTTTACAAAAGAAGTTCTTAATCGAGCTCTTCTAAGAAACTTATTATTAATCATTTGGCACCAGTTTAATTATTGCTTCTTGTTTTATTTACTTTTCTATTTTGAATCTTTCGATCAACTCTTGATTTATTCTAACAAGGTTTGATGACAGTCAATCTCAAGAGTATGATAAGGACCATAGTCAATAACACGAATATGGGAAAATCCTTTTATAACAAGTCTTGCTTTAAATATGTATGATCGTCCATGGAATGTATTCTTTCTAGAAGAATTACTTACTCCTTCTATCCTTGATATAGAGAGGAAGTTCAATCAAGACCATACTTGAATATCACACATGGATTACATCTCATGTTCATGACTCTAAGTGATTAATCAGATTGGAGATCTTACATAGCATCTTGGTATTTTATGGATTTGATAGAAATCATCAATAGAAGCTCATTAATGAGAGATTCCATATTTCTCAAGTTATAGATGATTCATACCACTAAAGCGAATAATTTGTGTTTGTGAATAGATATTATTTAGGTTTAACAATCCTTGTTAAATTTAGTGCCAACTGTAACTACATCAAGTTATGGTTCTTGAGTTGTTTCAGGTTCCATGTGCCTCCCTCTTTCTTTGGCAATATAAGCTTGCTTTCCACTAACTTAGATTTCACAAGAATAGGAGAACTCATTCTTGGTGGGTTTGAATGTAATAATCTAAGCGACATGTAGAGTATCATATATCAAATAAGTATTTAGTAGATTTTTGGTTTAGAAGCTTTAGCCCAACATAGGCTTCAAATCCATAAAACATTTTATAAGATATTGATGAAACCTTTCCATACAAAATCTTATAAATAAAATGTTATATTTACTTGTTAGTTGGTATTTGTACTCAATGTACAATTAATAGTGTTATAGGGGTTATCCCAAGGAAATAAAAGGAGGACATTTCTAGCAATTAGAAAGAAAAACATACCAAGTAATATTTAGTTCTTCCTTTATTATCATTAAGGCATTAGATAGTTATTACCGGTTTTTACTTCAACTTTATATTTGAAACCTTCAACATAGATTTCACAATTATGTATGAACATGTAAAATATAATTTATAACTATTATAGTTTTTAATAAATTTGATTTGGTATCTTGTGCTAAATCATATACATTCATTAGAAATGAAGTCATATATCATAGTATATAGTTCCTTAATAATTATTTTCTTTACTACTTAGTGAAAATATTATTAGCAATCTTTTATATATATATATATATATATATATATATATATATATATATATATATATATATATATATATATGGGTAAAGTGAATATACCTAACAACCTTATATAAGCTTATGTACCTAACCTGATCAAACTACATTATTTTGCATTAAATTTTCATTGCAATCATCCAAGGTTCTTAAACTTCATCCCTAAACTTGATTTATTTCAAAAAAATTTGGAAATTCATCATTATATTTCTCCTACATCCTTTCATTTGTAGCGCTAGGATATGAAGCCCATCAGGTGGTATTCAATAGAACGACGTGATGTAAAC